ATAAAAGCACTAAGTATCTTAAAGGTACCAAATCTTTCAAAATTGATGGACATATGCAATATAATTCCAATCCAAATCCCAAAGGGGCTTTTAGAGGAACTTAACATGCTGTTTTAAATTTTGTATGGCAGAGCATAGGCCAAGAATAATCAAGATGTCCACGAAGAAAAGACATGGTCGGGAGATTTGTCCTGTAGATGCAAAGACTTACTTTAAGGCTGGAACACATAGTTTGGGTGCAGTGAGCAACTAAGAGAACCCTAGATCAGACCGAGAGCCTGGGATCCAGTACACAGAGAAGGAAACCAGTCCATGATGGGGCTGTAAGTGAGATCCCAGAGGGAGGGGAGTCTACAAACAACAGGGGACAACCATGTGGGGAACTGGACACAAATGAAACCCATTTCTTATGTCTCAAAAACTTCAGCCAAGAGAGGAAAATGCAGCACTTTCAGAAGAAAATATAGGAGAATGTCCGGCTCTCAGGTCCAGGAAGGATTTCTTAAACAAGACATAAGCTCAGATCTTAAAGGAAAATATTGAAGAATTTAACTATGTTAAATGCCAGAATTCTGTTTTTCTAAAGACACCTTAGGAAACGTGCAGCATATGAAACTGACACAGGATCTGAAATGCCTGAGGAGTTCTTGTGAGTCAGCAAAATCAACCTGATAAGAAAACTGAGCCGAAGGCAGAAACAGGCATTTTTCTGGGGAGGAAATATGAATGCAGATTGAAGCCACCATGGTGATAGTTGTATGGGGCATTTGCTTTACAATAATTAATTGAGTTGTACACTTATGATTACTTGTAATTTCAGTATTTGCCTATGTTTTATATTTTGATACAATGTTAAGCAGAAAAGACAAGTTACAGAAGAATATCTGCAATATTGTACTTTCCTGGGCTCCCATCCTTTCTTCCTCCTGCCTACCTGCCTCCTTCCTCCTGCCTGCTTTCCTCCCTCTCACCTGCCTTTCCTCCTCTCCCTCCATACTTCCTTTCCTTCTTCCCTCCTGTCTCCCTCCTTGCCTTCTTCCTTCCCTCCCTTCCTCCTGCCTGCCTTTTTCCCTTTCTCCCTCAACTTCTTCATTTATCCCTTCCTTCCTTCTCAATGATTTGAAGGTAATGGTTAAGAACAAGAAATCTTTTTTTTTTTTAATGGCAGAACTATCTCAAAAAGTGAAAGGCCCCGTAGCATTCTGTCCCTTTCCCTTCCCAATGTGGAAATTGAGTTCTGCTGAGGTGAAGTGACCTGATCTGTAGCTCTACCCTCCATCCTTCTGTTCATTCGTCCTCTCCATAAATGCTTGCCCAGGCACTGCCCTGTGCTAGTTAATGTAGCAGAAATTGTATTTATAGGAGAGGTTAGAGCTGTAGAATCACTGATTTCTGGGTGGACATTGAATCTCTGGACACTCATGGAAACCACCTTATTCGTCACTTGGTTTTACCGGCAGTGTGCTGGGCCAGTGAGTTCTGCTGCCAGCCTTGACTGAAGAGCCTTCCCTGTGTGCACAGGAAGGGATGATGGAGAACCCAGAGGAGCATACTGGGCCCAGATCATATAGGCAGTGGGTTGGGGAAGGGCCATTAGCTGTAGTCAGCACGTGGACAGACTTCACATGTGTCAATCATATAGATCCCATTTTACAGATGAGAAACTGAGGCCTAGAGAGATGGGTATTCCTGTCTCCACACAGCTATCTCCTTGCCTCGAGAACCTGTGGGCTACCCCATGGCCTGTGTCTGCTCCCCTGCCCTCCTGACTAGCACATAGCCGCGCAGTCCCCAGGATGCAGGGGTATGTGAGAGCAAGCCCTTTCCTGTATCCTCATGGGGTACAGGGCCAGCTGGCCAATGTACATCTGAGTTTATGCCTGGCATTGGCCCAGCTGCTGGCAAATAGTACATGTGAGCAGAGAGAGCCACCACCAGCAGGAGACTCAAGGCTGGCAGGGGTGCCAGTGCAGGTTGCGCACCCAGCATCTCCCAGAGGCTCCCTGAAGGACCATGGGACCCGGGGTGTTCTCATGTGGTCCCAGGGCTTCCTTCTGAGTCTGCATTAAAATTGGGCACCTAATGCCAGGGCACTTGCAGAGATGCCCACCTGAACCTGGCTGGGCCTTGCCTTCCCCTTGCTTCTGCTGAGGGCTCCTCACCTCAGCCCAGGAAGGTGTGGGCTTTTCCAGTGTCAGGAGACTTTGGAACTGCTCAGAACTCTTCCATCGGGCTATAGAGCAGATGCCCTCAGGAGACTTGGGTGACTCTGCCTAACTGCACTCATGTGGGACAGCTCCTGGGTCCATCAATGGGAATTGGGGCTTTGCAGGATCAGTTCTCCCAGGTAGTTCACTCATGACTGGCAGTGGGTGAATTGGCCTGGCCACACCTCACTCCTCCCTGGGTAACCTGGCCTCACTTACTTTCTCCCAGGATGTTCACTGACTCCCTCATGCCAGGACCCTGAGTGTAACCACTTCCTCTTGCTGCTCCTGTGGAAAGCAGGGTCTGCAGCCACACTGGGGCAGGAACTTTGCAGGGTCTGTGTCTCACCTGGGGTACAGAATTGTCCCTCTGACTTCAACTGTCCTGGGGACAGAGTCTGGCACTGTTGCCAGGGGCTTTGACGCACATCTACCTAGGCACTTAACATGCTTTCTCACATTAAGTCATGGGGCAGGCACAGATGCCACCCATGCAGGAACCAAAGTCATCTGTGGGAAGGCAGTTGGGCTCTGTGATGTGCCAGGCAGGTGTACTGCCAGCCCTCCAGCCCCTCTGTGGCCTTAACAGACACTCTCTTCAGGAGACTCATAGCTGAGTCTGACCCCCAGTCACCATGTCCCCTCACCTGAGCTCCTCACCATGTCCTGGCCACAAAAGCTGCACTGAGAGTGGCCTCATCCCCGACAGACCCAACCGTGTGCCTGGAGGCAGAAAACAGCAGAGAAGGAGGGAGAAACCTGGGAGGGGGCTGCTCTTGTGACACGTGCCATGCAAACATACTCGCCAAATGCATGGAGATGGCAGTTGGGCAAGGACTGGCCATCAAAGACAGGCCACCTTTTTAGTTTTTGCTGCAGCAACAAATGCCTCACAACCTCATGCTTGTCCTCTATCAAAGAGGTGTGAGCAGAGGCCACAGGCTTAGCACAGGGGCCAGACCATTCCTGCAGGAGCAAGCAGGGCCAGCCTGATGGCAGTGCACAGAAGCCCCTGCCCCCCACTCAGCACCTGGCTGAGAGGCTTCAGGAAGGGAACAGGCTAGGGAGCAGCCCCTGATCCTCCGTGGGCACTGGGTACTGAAAAGGAGCCTTTATCTTGACTCTGGGCTAAACTCCTGGGACAAGACACTTGCTCCTGGGAGTCCCCTGTAAGCCCACCCACAAGAGTTCAGTCATGAAGGTCATGAAGGTGCTTGAACAGTAGCCACTGCCCTCCTGCCTCAGTACCCTGGGTCAGGAAGCCGTGTTCTTTTTTTTTTTTTTTGAGTTAGAGTCTCACTCTGTCGCCCAGGTTGGATACCCCAGTGTGGACCTGCTGGCCTCCAGCAATCCTTCTGCCTCAGCCTTCCAAGTAACCGGAACTATAGGTGCATGCTACTGTGTCCAGTTAATTTTTTATTTTATTGTAAAGACGAGGTCTCGCCAAGTTGCCTGGGCTGGTGTCGAACCCACGGGCTCAGGCAATCCATGCCTCGGCCTCCCAAAGTGCTGGGATTACAGACTGAGCCACCGAGCCTGGCCAGGAAGCCATGTTCTTTATGGGACAGACATGGGTTCTGGTCAGATGCTAGCAACCAGCCTTTCACTTGGGGACAACAGCTTTGCTCTGAGAATCCCATTCACCAACCTGGGTGGCCTTTTAGCTTCTCATAGCCCCACCCCCATGCAGTGAGGAAGCTGAGTCGCCCACAGGGCAATGGGGAACAAGAGTCAGGTCAGCACTGGCATGCACCATCATACTGGGATGCATTTAGGTTGTACATTCCAAAGGGAAAGTGGTTGGAAGGTGGGTTCCCCTTTCCACAGCAGCACCATGAAAGTTCTTTGCCCAGTGTCCTCCGACACCTTCTCCATCGTCCAACCTTGGTGCTCAGCTGGAGGCTTGGCTTCTGGGAGGGAACCCATGTGGCCCTGAGCCCTCCAGAGGGTGGAAGGATACCTGTACTCCCAAAATGTGACCTCGTTTCCCCACATTAACTTTTATCTTCTATTTTTCATGTTTATTTACGAAATGAGGCTCAGATAAAATAATTTTTAAAACTGCATTAAAGCTCCCCTGAAAAGCCTCATAGCTGGGGATGGGAGGAGAGGAACCTGTGGGCATGGACATGGGCAGTTTCACTCAAGGGTCCTGGGTGCCTCTTACTCCTGCTGCAGAACCTTCTAGGATGTATGCTTTGTAATCATGGAAGACAAGAGGCTCCTGGAGGTGACTGGAGGGCAGGCACGTGGCTCTTTGTTTGCAATCTCCCAGGTCACTTTATGGGTAAAGCAAGGCTCTGCAGGAGAGGGGAGTTGGCCAGACTTAGCACAGGCCTGGAGCCAGGGCAAAGTTTGCAAAATGTACTCTATGGATCCCAAAGGGAATGGCAGAGGTTTGTGCATGGTGACTTGGTGTTGAATCTCTTAGAAGCCCAGCTGGTCTTGCTCTGTGGCTCTCAGACCCTTTCCAGGCCCCATGGCCTACTGGCCCTCAGCTAGCCTCCCATCCACACTGGCCTGGACCTGCCAGAGGTCCAAGGAGAAAGCACAGCAGCTTCGGCGCTGTCCTCCACATGCTGGCCCCTGGCCCACATGCCCGCCACAACCTGGGCACCATTGGTTTCACCCAGGCCAAGTCCTTGAGTTACACTGCGTCTGCCATGTGTCCGCATGGCCCCTTTTTTATATCTATCTGTGCAAAGTTCTGTTACTGCCTTTTTAATTTGGTGTGACTTGTACTCAATAACAATAACCTTCTTAGCTCTCGTGTCCCTCCTACCCCAGCAGTTGACCAAGCTCCACCAGTTGGCCATGCAGCAAACCCCCTTTCCTCCCCTCGGACAGACCAACCCCGCTTTCCCCGGTACGTACCCAGCCCTTTTCTGACCTCCTTCTCTTCTCACCTGGGGACTTTTTCTCTCTTTCTGAGCTGTGTTTATTCAGTGCAGTGCATAGAACAGGTACAGTGCAGTTGTGGGCGATGGATGGTGCAGTCCACACACAGTGGGTTTGCACATGGCCAGGGCAGGGAAGGTCAGTCTGTCTCCCACAGTGGGCTGGTTCACCTTGCAGTTGGCCTTGCAGTATCCTTGCTTGCAAAGAGATGCTGCTCCCTCTCCACCCCCACACCAAGGTCCATGCCTGCTAGGCGGTGCTCTGTGTGGCCCACTGGCCTTCCTGGGGCAGCCCTTCCTGTGGAAAACATCCAGTTGGCCAGCCTTGGAGCATTTCTCTCCAGGAGCACATGCACAGACAGCAGACAAAGATGTGCTTCTGCAGGGAGGATGGCCCCCAGACCTGCCCCAGGAAAGCAGTAACTGAGCCAGCCTCAGCCTAGCACTGTCATGAGGCCATCAGAGTCAGCTGGCCATGGCCCAGTCTGGCTGTGTGTGGCAGCCGGAGTTCCTCCCCACACAGGCAGAGGCAGAGCCATGCCTGAGGCCATGGCCGGTGAGAAGCCACCGGACATGAGTGTCGGATATGCGTGTGCCAGTCATATTTTGAGCTTCCCTAGTTGAAGGGACCTTGCTTATCTCCTTGAGGGCAAAACATTAAACCTGTCTCTTCTTTGCTCTCCAGGAGAAAAGCTGCCTTTACACTCCTCCGAAGAAGCTCAAAATCTGATGGGCCAGTCGTCAGGTAACACAAAACCACATTGACGAGCAGGCCAGGGAGGCCACAGGCCAGAGCCCTGGCAGGAGGAGATATAGTAGCCCTGTGTCTGTGGTCCTGCCAGGTACCTGTGTCTGCGGCAGGTGGCAGCTTCTGGGCCAAGACCATGAACCAGCCTCGGGCACTGCCAAAGGCGTGGAAAGGGGCCATGCTGCACTGTGGGCTGGATGGCGGTCCAAGGTGCTCAGAGCACAGCACTGTGGCCATGGGAGGCTGCCTGGCCTGTGTGCACCTGTGGTCTGTGGGAGCAGGAAATGCAGAACTCACTGTGGTGTGTGTGTTTTACCCTTAAGGAGAGAAATTAGGCTGTGCTGGGTTTACCTGCACCCCTCTGGCTTGCATTAAAATGTTTGTTCCTTGGATTTTGTAGGGTGGCACATAGATTTTGTAGGGTGGCACATAGATTTGTGGATGTCTGGAGCTTAGGGGGTCTCTGTGAGGAAGATAGCCTTTCCACCCCGTGTGGGCCTCATATATGCATGGCCAGCACCACAGCAACTTTCTGCTAGCCAACCTGGTGCCCTGTGATGCTCCTGTCACCAAGGCCCCGGGATCACAGCACGCACATTTGCCGTCCCTCACAGGGTTGCATTGGGCAGGTGGCCCTGAGAAGTGTTTGTGGCAGTTCTGAATGCTGGTGTCCAGGACACATCCCACAGCAGGCTTGGGTTATGTTGGGGCAACATCACTGATTTCTTGGAACCTGGAGTATCATCATGTTCACAAGAAAATAATCACTGTGGAGCCATACTGTCCTGAGATAGATGAATACATGTCTTTAAATTAGTAGTTTAACTTTAGTGCTCTCTTTAAAAAAAGTCTGACCTTCCTCCCCTTATTTAAATACCCCAAGTTCAGCAGGTGTGACTCACTGCTTTCTGTGCATTCAAAGAGCTACTTGTTCAGGGATTCCTGTCTGGGACTCAGGCAAGACCAACAAAATCTTTTAAATGACATTTAAATGTCACCACGTATAGAATGTATATAGATAGTTAAATGACCAAATAATTGTTGTATTGAAAATATCTTTATTAAAAGATGACATAGAACAGAAACTCTAGGCTTAGGTATCAAACAAAAAAATAACAATTTGGGATGAATTAGTTCATTCATCACCACCTGATTCCTTCCTGTGCTGGATGGGCCCACAGGACCATGTCTACCCTGTGGTACTACTCCCTGGCAGGGAGACCAGCTGGCCCCACTGAGAGAGTGTCTGGTTTGGGGGCTCCAGTGCCATCAGAGCAGGAGAGAGATGGGTTGTTGACAGCACCCCAATCCCAGGGCCCAGGGAAGGGCGACGGGGGGCAGACAGAGGCAAGACCAGCAGGAGGAGAGTGTGGGGTGAGAGAGGGGCCAGTTCTGAGATATTCTGAAGGTAGATCCACAGGGTCACCCTGACTGAGAAGGGTAGAATTCGGGGCTTCAGGTTCTGGGCTGAGCTGCAGGATCTCAGTCACAGAACCCCATGGGCCTAGGCAGGGGAGAAGCTGCATGCACAGAGCACAGCAGGCCCTGCCTGCACCCCCTGTGCCCTCATGAGGCTTCCTTCCCGTTGGCCCACTGAGCTATGTCACTGTTTCTGAGGAAAGCACAGCTCTTGCACATGAACTCCGAGAAGCTTTCTCTATCTGGCAGTACTGAGCTGAGATGTGTGAAGATGAAAACTGGGGTCATGTCTGCACTCTTCAACGTAAGGAAGAGACCTGTATGGAAATGTACAGTCTTTCCCCAAATCCAGCAGTTTGTTTTTGACTCAGTGAAGCTATCAAGTCTCCTTTCTCCAAGTTGGAAGGACTGCCCTGAGGGCCTGAGCTGTCTGAACCAGGTGGTGCAATGACCATGGACAGAGATAGGTCAGAACACAGAGCCAAATGAAAGGCAACTCTGTTTCACTGCAGTGGCTGGGAGGGAGCGCATAGAAGGCAGGTGCTGTAGGTAGGACAGAATGGGCCTCAGAGCCAGTGGGGTCTCCTGAGAACGGAGGGAGGACGGCCACTCAAGGTCAGTGTGAGCAGCACAACCTGTGCTCTGGATGCCCACAGAGGCCCTGAGTCATGCTGGGCAGCCCTGCCCCTCAGCCTCTCATCATGGTCTATGCAAGGGTCACAAGTGATTATGTGCCCAAGATGAAATGTGAAATGTCCTCTGCTTGGGCTTCTCTTTCCTTCTTTTGAGAGAAGTTAGGACTCAGGAGTCAGGTTGCAGTTTGGGACTGAAAGCTCATAGGCCCTGGGCCTCTGGGCTATGCTGACCTCACCTTCAGGCCAGTGAAGTATGGGCCAGGTGCTGGGTGTGACAGTGAACAGCCTTCTACCAGCCTAACCATGTCCCCTTGGTGTGCCCAGGTCTGGACGCCAGCCCTCCGGCCAGCACTCACGAACTCACCATTCCCAATGATGTGAGTATGCCTGTACCCTCTTGTCCTTGGGTGGGATTGCTGGGCACAGTGGCTGTCAGTACTGCTGCCCTTGGGTGGAGGGGCACACAGCTTTGTAATGCCCTCCCCACCCTGACCCCACTGTTTGGTCTCTTTCCTCCCTCCTTTCCCATCTTAAGCAGATTTAATACCTGTAAACAGTATGTGATTTTACCTTCCTAGGATACTGAATAAGAAAGGGACCAATTGGGACTTCTGGGTTTTAATCAGAAGTCAGATGAGCATTGATCTGGGAACCCACATTGCCAAGGAGTCACTGCTCTGGTTCAGGGTTAGACTTTGAAGAACAGGTGGCCCAGTAGTACTCTAGAGTGGACCCACCCATGCACAGCCTATGGGCCCTGGCCCCTCTGGAGGACTGGGGCTCTCTGAGAATTGGCTCCACAGACCTGAAGTTGGCTGGATGTCAGATTTGTATGGATTCCTTCTGGCACCACTCAGTCTGCTTCTGCCTCAGGTCCACCTGAGGGCATGGCCTTACGAGCTCCTTCAACACATTCAGTCCTCCTCAGACTAGGCAGGGGTTTGCTGGCAGAGGCCTATTCTCTGCCCTAGACCATGGACTATAGGAACCTCCACTGTTCTGCCCCTACACCTACTAGGCAGAAAGTCCAAGCCTTGTCTCGTCCCTTCATGGAAGTTAACCACAGGAAGCACAGATGTGGTCATTCAGGGTGATCACCAGTCCTGAGCATGAAAGATGGACAGTGGGGTGGGAGGAAAAGAAGCTGGAGGGAGCAGGGGCACTAGGGAGGATGACCACAAGGCTGTCTGGCAGGTGCCCCTGACCCACCTGAAGAGCTGTCTTCATCTGGGCCCTCATGGGGTGCCTACTCCAGGCCTCCTGCAATCCTGGCCACTGTTGAGGGAGGCTCTACAGTATGGCTACTGGGACATGGACTGGTCAAGGAGCCCTAAGCCCTTGATTCTTTTCTGATGATCACTGTGGACCTCCCTTACTGCCTACTTCAGCATGTGCTCTTGACCACAAGGGCTGCAGTGCCATAGTCACCCATGCTCTGTCCCAACACCAAGCACCACCAGACAAGGGAGTCTTGGGCCCCTTTCTCCAGCCTTAAACTGCAGAGTCACTTGGGGCCTCCTGCTGGGAGAATGATGCAAGGTCAGACAGTGGGCTACAGGGGACGAGGCTAGAAGGAAATGTTACCTCAGAGACTGTGAAATTTGGCTTTGGCATCTGGTTAGGAGGAGCCATGATATTTTAGAATATTGCCATACTTTTTCTTTAAATTAGCAGTGGAGGCACACAAGGTTCTGGGTTGGCAGTTTGCAGGAGCAGGTGATGCCAGGTGGGAGGTGCTCTTGGGCTGAGGGGGCCCAGGAACCTCCTGGATGCACTGAGTGAACCACCCCAGCAGGGCAGTGAGAGAGCTGTCCTTGCCACATCCTTTGTCACCAGAGGGCCATGAAACAGAAGCCAGAGCCTCGTGTCCACCTGGGCGTCTGAGGCAGAGAAGTCATGCTCAGACTGCTGAGGCTCCTGTCAACAATATTCTGTAGGTCCTTCCAGAGAAGGGAAAAAGGCATACAGCCAAGGCGATGCCCTCCAAAGCCTGGGGGAGACGCCCTGAGCAGCATATGTGAGGGTGTGAAGGTGAAGGTTGGGCAAGTTGAACAGGAGGAGGAAGGAGCACCAGGGCACTGGGAGACCAAGGTGGGCAGATGACAGAGACAGACGTTTAGGAGCAGGGCGTGAACGTTTCATGCCGAGGGAGAGAACTTCATGCAGTGTGCTTGTTGGAGGAAAAATCAGAGTGTGCAGCAGGCCTCAATACTGTGAACATCCAGCAAATGCCATCGCTCTCCAGTGCAGAAAGTGCTGGAAAGAAAAAGGGACTGCCAGTCATAGGGTTGCAGAGTGGCTGAGGAGGGCTATAGGAAGGGGACAGCATGGAAGCCTGGGCCCTCAGCTCCCTCTTGGCTGTTGGCGCCTCTCAGAGGACCACGATCACGCCACTGGATCAGCCACATTCTAATTGCGGAGGCTGTACTTCTGTCCCCAGCCTCAGGGGCTGCCTTGCCTGACCCTGATCAGAGATGAACCCTCAGATCTATTTACCAACAGGGAGGAAAACACAGCCAGACAAGTTAATGTAGCTATGTGCAGGTAAGGAAGCCACCTTCCTTGATCCCAGAGGAACACTCAGTACACCAGACACAGGCATTGGCAGGGAGAGGAGTGGGCAGAGTCCCGAGGGCTGGGCTGTAGGTGGGTCTAGAGTATGTGGGAAGGACCTGGTGTACGTGGGAGGGACCAGGGAGATGTGAGAGGGATCTGGGGGCTGTGGGAAGGGCCTAGGGCATGAAGATCTGTTAGTGGGACCTGAGAGGTGTGGATGGAACCTGTGAGATGTGGCTAGGGTTTGAGGGCTGTGGGTGGAGCCTGGGAAATGTGGGTGGGATTTGAGAGGCATGGGTGGAGCCTAGGAGGCATGGGTGGAGCTTGAAGGGCAGGAGTGGAGCCTGGGAGATGTGGATGAGGCCTGGGGTATGAGCAGGGTATGAGGAGAGCCTGAGGGTTGTGGATGTAGCCTGAGGGTGTAGATGGGGCCTAGAGGTGTGGACAGAGCCCAGAGATGCAGTCAAGAGACAGAGAAAGCTGGGGGCTCCGGGTGTTTTGGAACACGTTTCTCTAATGTTTACAGACTGATGGTTTCACAGTCTAGTGAGGCAGCTGGTCATAACCTAGAAAATAGCAGAGTTGTCCTTAAAGGCCTATGGGCCTCTTTGGGGGTAGAAGCTAGTTCATAAAGGCACGTGTCCCACCCGGTCGGACTGTTGCTCCCCACACAAGTGTGCATTCCTTAGGTTTGGAAACGAGCTTCCTGCCTGCATGCCCTTGCACAACCTCCATCTGCCATCTTAGACACTGTTTCCAACACTTCGTTTCACCACAGTGCTGCCACCCCTTGGTCAGTGGCCTCACAGGAGAGGGAAGCAGGGGCAGACTAAGGGCCAAATGTTGCTGTCTGGCCCCTCTTCCCAGGCCTCTCCAGCCAGGGACTTGTGGCCACTTGTGTCCAGGCCACTTCTTTTTCCCATGCTTGCTCCCAAGCTCTCATTAAGAACCCGTGTGTGCATGGATGGTGAACGTTGAGGGAAGCCTCTGCAGTCTTCTCTGGGGGCCTGAGTTATCCCCCCACTCACAAGGGAGACTGGGAAAGCCTCCACAGCAGCAACTGCTACACAGAGAAAGCCTTTAACTCCAGTCTGTTTAGGTACCTGTGTGGCCCAGCCCTCATCCCTCAATTGCTTCAGGGAGGGCCCTCATACTTGGTGCCACCTTGCCAGGGCCACTGCCTCCCATCTGTAAACAGAGGTCACAAGGACATGTCCTTGTTTGAGTTCAGGATAAAAACAGGTTTTAGGCAGCAATGAGCCTTGCTCTGGTTTCAAATACACATTGACAGGCATCTGTGATGTTTCCTGCCTCACTCTGAGGACACAGACAAGCAGGTACAGGTGTGGCCCAGGCCGTTCTGGCATCAGGACTCCCTGCTCAGCACCTGCTTGTCTGACAGGCCCCCAGAGGAGACCAGTGTGAGGTACTGAGTCCAAGAGGCTTTGCAGGCCTTACCAAGGACACTGAGCAGAGGCAGCCTGAGACAGGCAGGCAGAAGTGAAGGCAGCTTTCATCCCCACCTCTGGAGCCAGTATCTTGGATCAGGTGGTGTGGAAGCCAAGGCTAGTAGCATATCCCCACAGACTTCCCAGGGATCTGTGTGCTCTTCAAGGGGGCTGACTCGGACTCTTCTCTAAGAATTTCATCCTATTTTCTAGCTAATAGGCTGCATAATTGGCCGCCAAGGGACCAAAATCAATGAAATTCGACAGATGTCTGGAGCTCAGATCAAAATCGCCAATGCCACTGAAGGGTCATCAGAGCGTCAGATCACCATCACAGGGACCCCAGCCAACATCAGCCTTGCCCAGTATCTCATCAATGCCAGGTGAGTGGCTCCTGCTGGCCCAAGAGATACAAGGACAGAGTCACATCTTGGCCTGGATAAAGTCAAGGCAGGTGGGAGCCTGAGCTATACTTCCCCTTGCTCCCCTCTCTCCTGACTGAATGGTGGGGACAGAATGAGGTAGAAAGTCTCCACAAAGGCAGGGCCATCCCACACCCAGATCTTCTACCTGCAGCATCCCAAGTGAAGAGCCAGGTGCTCAGAGAATGTCTCCCAGAAAGTAGGGGGCCCATGTGGCCCAGAACAAGTACCCAGAAGTTGGCTCCCTTAAGTAGCAGACCCTGGAAAGTCTGCCCTTGTCCACATAGAGCTGTTCAGAAAAATTGTGTGGGCGATTTGGCCATTTTGCCCTCATTCCTTGTCCTCATGGGACAATGTAGGGACAGGTAGGTTATGACTCTGCAGGCTCTCCTCCTGCCTTTCGTCCCTGTGCAGAAGGAGGATCTGCTCACCTGCCATGTGGGCCGTGATGCTGGCCTCAACAGGAACACAGCCTCCTCCCTGCCCAAAGTTGTCTGTCCTCATGCTCAAGCCCTGATCTGGGCTTGTGGGAAGGGCCTGGGCAGAGGCCTCATGATTCCTGTCCTGGTGCCCCCCCTGTGGGGCCAAGGAGCCAAGTGGTGAGGGCTGTATGAGAAGCCAAGGTCGCCCCTTCCCAACTTCACCCACCTGACAGTCCACAGGATAGGAGGCCAGGCAGAGCATGGTGTCAGCACACCTGGGCGTGTTGGGGACAAGCTCATCTGGGAGATTCTAGGCCTGCTCTGCGCCCACCTGGTTGTATTACTGACAGCCCCACGGGAACCATGCCAGGGACCAAGGGCTCTTCCCCATGTCACATTGTATTCCTGTGACAGCTGGAGTTCATCTTCAGCTAAGGGGAGTGAGGCTAAGCAGGCCAGAGGCCCACAAGGGCAGATCCAGGACTGCACTGGGCTCTGCACTGGCAGGACCCAAGCTCCTGTGCAGCTGACTCACATCTGACTCATATCTTCCCTGGAGCAGGGAAGAGACCTCGAGTCTGGTCCTGGTCTGCCCTCCTCCGTCTGTGCTCTGCCATGGTCTCAGCTCATGCCTATCCGAGAGTGATCTGGGAGAGTGATCACAGCAAGGCTAGAGGCAGTCAGGGTTTGAAGATGCCACAGCCTCCCTGTCTCACTTCTAGTTTGTGGATGAAGACGCTGTGACCTGTGTCTCTCTCTTTGTGCCTCTGTCTGTTCCAGGCTGACGTCCGAGGTCACTGGGATGGGCACGCTCTAATCTTACCCAGCATCCTCTACGCCGCAGCACTGCATCAACCACCCGCTCGAGCCTCTGGCCCGGCTCGTGCACTCTGTACAGACCACCCTCCCTTCCTTGCAAATATAAATAGAGAGAGGGTTTTCTTTACTAACAAAAAGGATATATGCCATAGATACACACATGCCCAAAGCAGATCTTTCTGCAGAAGCTCCAGGCTCTGTCCCGAGTCCCCTTTTTAAATATTAACTTCTGAGTTATGCTCCAATCTCTTCCTGCATCAGCATGCAGTGTTAGTTACTTTAAATGCTTTGAGGTCTTCCCACCTATGACATCTTAGAAGTACCATTCCTTAGTGTCAGTGTAGCTATCTGTTTTCAGCATTTGACATTCTGACAGTACTTCCCATACACTGTCCTCTCCTCCATATACAGAACTGTTGCTCTGAGACTCCTACTCTTTCACTTGATCCTGTCATGCTGACTCAACTTCCCTCAGAGCCTGTATCATCTGAGCTCACATTTCCGCCTCAGGTCATGTGCTGGAATCAGGGTGTGCCTCTCCTACAACCCAAGAGGAGAGGAGGAACTTGGAGGATGTTGGGCCCTGACCCAGAATGGGGTGGAATGGTAGAAGGGCCAGGGGCCTGACCTCACCGAGCTGTTGCATGCTGGGAGGCACTGGTGGGTCCACGTGTCTTCCAGAGGGGCTGGAGAGCATGGACATGCCAGGAAGCTCTCTGTGCTCCTCGGAGTTCAATAAATGTCGTGCGCTCCTCCCCACCGACTCTGGCTCATCTCTGTGTCCCCCCATGCACACAGACTCCTGCACACCCAGACCCTGTGAGATCTCACCCAGTAGTGGCATGTTCAAAGGAGCTCAGTTCTGTCTCACACGCACAAATCATGATTTCATCTCTTTCCCCAACTTGCATCGTGCTTCTATTTTTACTTTGTCAAAACTACTTAAAATGACAAAAATGGAAACCCCATTCTCACCCAGATACCAGAGTATTAGTTCCCAATTTGTGAGACTTGTCCTCCCACAGCCATCATCGACACCAAGGCCAGCTACGCCCATGACCACCACTGCTTTCCCCATGTGTAGCATGTCCACATTCCATCCACTCAGGGGATTGTCCTGCCTGCACAACTCACATTGAAATAAGCAGTTCCTATCCCCTGTGCCTACCTTAATGATCTCAGCTCTACCCCTTCTCAAGACTGAAGCCCTGGTGCAACTCGAGCCCCTTCTCAAGACTGAAACCCTGGTGCAACTCGGGCCCCTTCTCAAGACTGAAGCCCTGGTGCAACTCGGGCCCACCACAAACCCCCCACACAGCCCGCATGCCTTCCCTTCCTCAGGTGGTTAATAGCAAAGGACCTAGGCCCTGCAAGGCAGATGGGAGACTCAGCACTGTCAGGTGTCTGGGAGGATAGGATGCAGAGGCTCCTGTCCCTGCTCTGCAGGCTTGGGGCACTACCTCCCTACCTCAGATCTTGGACTTTCTAGGACCCTCTGGAAGGTGATGGGACCTGGATGATGTAGACCCAGGCCCAGTGACAATAGCGTCCTCCATTCCCTCTCAAGTTCTCTCCATCCAAGAGGATGAGAGTCTGGTCTGGAAACTGTCAGGCATTTAGTGGCCTGGACTGCCTGTCCCAGGCTCCTGGCTAGGTGCCTCCTCACAGGTGCCCCTGCCCCTGTCTGTCCAAGTGGGAGCTACCCTGCTTCCCAGACTTAGCCAAGATTGCCTCAAGCAGTCTCCCTGTGTGCCCAGCCCAAGGATCCTCAGTGCCTAGACATATTCCTTGCCTACCCCCTGCTCCCCAGGAGGCGCCCAGTCACAGGAATGAGCCCAGCATGGCACCTGGGCACACAACATGCCAGCAGGGACACAGACACAGGGATGTGGCAAACATGGGCCATCCTGTGGGGGTGGGGGAAGAGTGACCAGTCAACAGCGTGAGCATGACAGAAAGTGATAGATGCCCTGGAAATAAGAGGAAACACCATATGTGGAGGGGACACATAGAAGGGTCCCTAGAAGGTGCAGGCAAGGAGACCTGAGGAGATGAGGAGTTAGCATATGCCAGGAGGAAGAGCAGCAGGGGGTCACAAGCAAGCTGGGAGAGACACATCAGGTGGAGAAGGATGGCAGGTTGGTGAAGCACTGGATCAGGAGGAGCACACCAGGTGGAGGGCACATCAGGTGGAGGTGACGTCAATTCAGGGGAGCATGTCAGGTGGGGGTGGCATGTCAATTCAGGAGAGCATGTCGGGGGAAGAGCACATCTTCTGAGGGGGAACAGATGAAGGGGACGACATGCCAGGTGGAAGAGGACATGCCATATCAGGTAGAGGGAGCATATCAGGTGGGGGAGGACATCAGGTGGAAGAGGATGTTAAGCAGGAGAGCACACTAGATGGAAAGGACACAAGAAGTGGGTGGGGGGAGCATGCCAGCTGAGGGGGTGTGTTGGGGTGGCATGCCAGTTTGAGAGCATATCTCTTGGGGGGACGCAGCAGGTAGAGGAGGATGTCAGGGGGGGAGCACATCAGGCGGGGAGAGCTGTGCAGAGCTCTCAGCCCCCAGGCCTCTGAAGGGTCGTGGGGGCTCACAGAAGCATCCAGAGTACAGCAAGTCATGAGGGGGTCCTGAGTGGGGATCAGGGCAAGAGGGAGTGGCTGTGCAGAAGAGCAGGAACTCAGGGCCAGGGACCAGGGCCCCAAACAATAGCCAGGGACAACCTGTTGTTCAGGCCAGCTCACACTTCAGCATCTCACTGACTGAGCACTGACTGTGCACCTGACTGGGGGTGCAAGGCTCTCATGCTGGAAGACAGCTGTGCAGCGGGAATCCTGATGCTGAAGAATGAGGCCAACACTCATCTCACGTTCCTGCAACTGCTTATGTCTCCAGCAAACCAGCTCCCCACCCCCATCGCAGCCCCTTTTCCATGCTGTCTACATGACTCCAACCACGCTCAAGGCCATTTACTGAGAAAATGGCAAGCTTTGAATAAGGGTCTGTGGCCTACTAGGAACCAGGCCACACAGTAAGAGGTGAGCAGCAAGCAAATGAGCTAAGCTTTATCTGCATTTACAGCCATCCCAACCACTTGAATTACTGCCTGAACTCCATCTTCTGTCAGATCAGTGTTGGCATTAGATTATAATAGGAGCACAAACCCTATTGTGAAGTGTGCATGTGAGGCATCTAGGTTGCACACTACTTATGATATTCTAATGCCTGATGATCTGAGGTGAAACTGAAGTGATGATGCTAGCACCAAAGAGTGGCTGCAAATACAGGTTAACATTAGTATTGAGGTTTGACTGCACAGAGACCATAATAAATCAATGACTTGCAGACATATATCAAAACCCTATTAGTGAGTGGCAAGTGAGTTGATATACTGCAGTTGTACAACTGCATCTGATGGCAGGCTTTAAATCAGAATCAGTCACTTATTTTAGTCTGCACATGACCCACCCATTTTTTTTTTTTTTTTAGTTGGAGTCTCACTCT